CAGCAATAGATCTTATATTAACATGAATATTTTTTTCTTAAAGACTCTATACCTTTTTGGGAACCCTTAAAAGTCAGATGAAGTTGTAAGATCCGTATAGGCTAACAGCACCAACATCATAGAAAATGGGCTAGAGGACCCTTAAATTGCAATCTTAAATATGCGAATATACAGTTCGGTGTTAGCTGGTCACACCAGGCCTCTGCTTTTGCTACCTGCGTGAAATAAATGGCTACAATCGCGCGGAACCTCAGGTTGCATACGAAGTAAGGGTACATACGTAGTGCGGTTTAGGCGAGTGACGTACGTACTGTTGAATTTCAAAGCTTTTTAACACTATGTAAATAGATTTTTTGTATATACTTCTATAAATATTATTATTAACTGTTTAGTATTTTTAGTAAGAAATTAAAATAGTTGTTTATGTTTAATTGAAATTTATATGAATATTATAAAAATAACCATTCATTAACCATTTCGAAAACATAATAATGATTGGATTTACCAGCCAATAATTTACTAAAATTATTGACGAATATTTATTTTACCACTACGAGTTAAAAAAAAACCAATTAAAAAAAAAAAAAGGGCAACCAAACCCAATGAAAAAAAAAAAAAAAAAAAAAAAAAAAATTTTTCTTTCCAGTATTTACTTAAAATTATTCGTTAAATATAGAGGTTTTTCCACTCTTAAATTAAATAACCGTTAGTCTAGAGACGGTAAAAAATATAAAACATTATATTATAGTAAAACAGTTGTAAATTAAGTAAATAATCAAAAGGTACAAAAATACACAACGTTTAGTACTGTCTTTTATACTTTTTGTTGAAAGCCCATGGTAATCACGAAATATCGCCTGTGACGTAGGAAGGAGAAAAAATGCAAAATAATACGGACACTCCCGCGCCCTGATAAGGTTAAATTTAGCTTGCATGTGTGATTTATCTAATTAATAATAATTACATAATTAAAACGACGGCAAGTAGTTTAACAGGTAGGGCCGGCTCAAACCGGGGTGGTACCACGACATCACAAAATACCGGCATATATAATAATGAAGTGGAAGCTCTGCTTCCGCATTTCGTCTGGTGAGTGCAGGTGGCCGGAGGCCCAAATCCCCCCCCCCATCAACATGGTAGCGTAATTAAATGTTAAACTACCCAAGGAGGGTACCAGCACCCCTGGAGAATCCCTCGCTGAGCATCCACGACCAAGTTACTCCACTCCTGAGCGTGGGTGCTCAGGCTGCCCCGCGTATTCTGGGGAGGGGGGGGAGGCATAATTCCGCTCAAGACTACAAATGCTCGGGGCAAACGGAGCAACAAGACCAAGGCAACCCCTGCCACGCTATCCGTGAATTTCTTTCTGCTATATCAGGGGACTTCACTCTAACCTAAACGCCGTCCACTACCTCTCACGGCGAAGCCCTTTACCGACCGTCTCAAAAAAACCGCTGGAGTTTGCGTTTACGTTAGAGAGGACATCTGTTCTCGACGCCTCGGCAGTCTTGAAGGTTCGAACCCGTCCATCCTTTGGCTACGCGTAGACAGCGACGACCATCCGCGCGTCTACGGGTGCCTCTATAGGTCCCATAGCGGTAATACAGAAACAGACCGACTCTTCGACCACGTCCAAATGGCTACAGATTCGTTGCTACAGCAGATACCCTCCGCAGAAATCGTGATACTCGGCGACTTTAACGCCCATCACGGCGAATGGCTTGGTTCACGTACAACCGATCATGCGGGGAGATCTGTTTATGATTTTGCCTTCGCAATTATGGTCTGACACAACTGGTTGCTTCGCCTACGCGGATTGCAGATGTGGGTAGGATCATGCACCTTCCCTGTTGGACCTTCTGCTGACCTCTCACCCGGACGGATATCAGATTTCCGTCGACGCCCCTTTAGGCTCCTCGGATCACTGTCTTGTCCGGATTGTGGTGCCACTCACGCTGAAATCGCAGTTTCATTCTGCAGGCTGCCGCCGTGTTTGGCACTATAGGTCAGCCGATTGGGATATCATGCGGTCTTTCTTTGCTTCCTACTCTTGGGGGCGGGTTTGCTTCCTAACGTTGTTGCGGATTCTGTCGCTGATGTGGTACTTCAGGGTATGGAACTTTTTATTCCTTCCTCTATGGTGCCCATCGGAGGCAAATCTCAGCCATGGTTTGGTCGCTCCTGTAAAATAGCTTCATGCTATAAGCAGGAGTGCTACCGAGCCTGAGCTGACACATCAACGTCCCGGGCTGTTAACACCAGCGCTCTAAAAAAGATGTATAATTCCGCCTCCAGGTCCTTCAAAACAGTCATTGCCAAGGCAAAGTCAGAGCACATAGGCAGAATTGGCGAGAAACTAGTTCGCCTTCCTTCTGGAACTCGTGCATTCTGGTCTCTCGCCAAGGCTGTCCAGGGGAATTTCTGTCAGTCATCTTTTCCATCTCTGCACAGGGAGGACGACTCACTGGCCCATACCGCAAAGGAGAAAGCCGATCTGCTAGGCTCTTTCTTTGCGTCCAACTCGACTCTCCATGACGGGGGGAGAACGCCTACGACCATCCCGCAGTGTGAGTGCTCCATGCCGGAAGTGCAGTTCACACAGCGCTAAGTTCGCAAAGCACTCCTCTCCCTGGATATCCACAAGTCGAGTGGGCCTGACGGAATCCCCCTGCGAGGACGTGTGCTCCAGAGTTGGCACCGGTTTTAACGCGTCTTTTCCGGTACTCCTACTCCCTAGGCGTAGTCCTAAAATCATGGAAGACGGATTTCGTCCACCCGATCCCTAAAAAAGGCGACCGCTCAGACCCGTCCAACTACCGACCTACCGTTATCACCTCCTTGTTCTCCAAAACAATGGAGTCCATTTTAAACTTCCAGCTCATGAGGTACCTTGAGGATCACCAGCTGATTAGTGATCGCCAATACGGTTTTCGCCGTGGTCGATCAGCTCGTGATCTTCTGGTCTAACTCATAGATAGGCGCAGGCAGTAGAGTCCAAGGGGAAGGCATTGGCAGTTAGTTCGGACATTGCGAAGGCCTTTAATCGGGTTTGGCACAAAGCGCTTCTTTCAAAACACCCTTCCAATGGGCTTCCCGAGAAATTATGCAATTGGATCACCCGCTTTCTTGCAGATCGGAGCATCAAGGTCGTTGTAGACGGTGCAAGCTCTTGTAATTGGAGCTTGCTTCTTCTATTAATGCTGGTGTTCCACAAGGCTGCGTGCTATCGCCAACAATGTTTCTTCTACATATCAATGATATGTTGCAAACCCGTAACATTGTTATGCAGATGACAGCACTGGTAATGCTCTGTACACCGGCCGTACCAATATTTCTCGAGAAAACGTCTCCGAGTACCGGAACAAACTTGTGTCTGAAGTCGAGTCTTTGCTGAACAGAGTCTCTGATTGGAGGCCACTAAATCTAGTCCAGTTTAACCCTCAGAAAAGACACTAGTTTGCGCGTTAACCGCTAAAAAGAACCCCTTTGTCTTATCTCCTCAGTTTCAAGGCACTCCCTTCGTTGCCTCAGCCAGTATCGAAATCCTCGGCGTCGACCTATCGAGTGACGTGCAGTTTCGTGGTCATTTGGAAGAGAAGGCCAAATTGGCTTCTAAAAAACTTGGCGTGCTCAGCAGAGCGGGACAGTATTTCATGCCGGCACACCGCCTGCAACTTAACAAGGTGCAGGTTCGGCCGCACATGGAATACTATTCCCATCTCTGGGCTGGAGCTCCCCAGTATCAGCTACTTCCACTTGACCGCATCCAGTGCAGAGTGGCTCGAATCGTCGACGACCGAGTGCTTTCCGATTAGCTCAATTTACTGGCGTTGCGAAGAGATGTTGCATCTCTTTGCGTATTTTATCGCATCTATCACGGGGAGTGCTCTGAGGAATTGTTCGGATTAAACCCAGCCTCCAAATTTCGTGAACGCACTACGCGGCAAACTTACCGATACCATCAACACCATCTGGATACTTGGCGGTCCACCACTGTACGTTTCAGAAAGAGTTTTTCTTCCGCATACGACCTCTCTGTGGAATAGTTTACCACCGGCGATTTTTCCTCTTCTATAAAAAAAGTAGTCAACATCAAAGGAGTGCAACTTCTGTACGTAGTACTATTATTTATTCTGTCGTCACACGCTCGATCCAGCTGCAGAAAGGGTACCAAGTACAGGTCGCGTTAAATCCTTTTTTCTATGGTCTGATCTATTCATTATTTTGGGTTATGCTTATGTCTTCAAACCTGTGTATATCATAGTTTGTATTAGAATTTGGTTTTTTGCATTGTTTTCTTCACTCAGCCTGATCGTGAGCAAATGTTGCCTACACGACCATCCCTTGCATATCCTTAAGGTCGTCTTAAAATTGGTTGACAAAAATTCTTAGTCAGTACTTTTACAAAAATAATGAAATGTCATGAAATGCGTTGTCACCCCTGAGGACTGAGATGGAACACCTCGTAACCACTAAAAAGCATACACAGTTTTCTGCACTCACCATACGAAACACAGCAACGATAAGCTGATATTTTACGCTGGTTTTCTGTAAGAGCGTTGTCCTTCCCCTTTCGTGCTGCAACCATAATACGGTGTGGCTACCACAATTTATCAGCAAAAATAAAGTCGTAAAGTGTAATAAAAAATAAATATGATTATACCTGACTGACATAGATATTATTTTGGTCTTATGAAAAATAAGCCATTGCCGTTTATAAGTTCTAAATATAATTTTGCCCCAAGTTGCGAACCCTGTGGAACTCTTTAAAAACAAAAAATTTACGTAGTACATATATAACGGTTTTTAACAAAACTTGTAGTTAATAAATACGTTAATAGTATACGTAAAAAGTTCTCAAATAAATAATAAAATTTCTCTTAAAATAAACTCGATCTATTTTGCGTGAGAAAAGTTATTTTTCATCGTTCGCAATGAAACTTTTTAAATCAAATTTTAACTAAATTCCCAATTCCAATCCGAACGTTTTGCTCTGCTAGGTCAGCAGTTTCTTGGACAGAGTTCGGCTGATGTCAGAAGCTTACAGGACGAACAATGTTCTGGTGACGATGGGCGACGACTTCCAGTACCAAGACGCTGGAATGTGGTTCAAAAACTTGGATAAATTGATACAGTAAGTCCGCTCGTGAACCTTCGTCTCAATTTGTCCTTTATTTTTCTTTACAGTAGTTGTCCTTATTCTTTCTTTAGTAATGGATATGTATGATTGTACTTTTGCCAGTATCAGATAACAAAAAAATCATACTAGTATATAGTAAACTACTTCACAATAAAATGATTTCCTAAATTGACGCGAACACTACACATTGAACGACACTATTTATACGTATTTTATATAGCTACTAGCTTGCCAGGCAGACGATGTTCTGCCCTTTTCGACGACCCTTTGTCATGTCCTACTTCGATCAAATAATGTCCTATTAAAAATCCTTAAATTCGCAAAAATAAATTGTGGGTCACTCATGGGCAAAAAACTATCCTATCTCTCAAGTTGGAACAAAGTGCACATGGTGTGCAAATTTGATTAAAATCTGTTAAGTAGTTTAGGAGTACATCGAGGACAAACAACGTGACAGAAATACACCTTCAGTTTTTGAACAATGATTTTTTGTCCGATCTACGCAGAACGAGCTTACAGTATCTTGCAAGTCTTAAAGTGGAATGCTTGGGTTAGGTTTTAATTTTGTTAATTATAGGATCCCAAGCAGATTGCAGCACTCATCCATGTTCTCTATTGAAATTAGGATGTTTTTTAAATTTAAATAGCTTTTATTTTAATAGCCCTTGATTTAAATTGGACATTTGAAATTTCAACCATGCGAGCATAAAAACAGCTTAATCATGCTGTATTTAGGATAGTACTTTTTGCTGATAATGAGAAATCGAATCATAATCCACAGCGGTAACAAGGATACACAGGGATAGATATGTCTATGGGCCCAAATATCCATTTACTATCAGGTGAACCGTGTGCATGTTTGTTACCTCTAGTTCTATAAAGAACTGCTACTCCCGTAGCTGCGGGAGGGTTACTTAAACTAGAACCAAATAGAATCGTAGACTGTCGTCTAGTAATACTTTAATTTTAATTACATCAAAATCTGTTGATCCGTTCGATCGTTCGTTGTCAAAAAACTCAAAAAGTATGTTCTTTTAATACCTTCAAAATTTCTGCTCGGATCGTTTTTGATGTCGAACGTCTTGAAATCGAACATAGCGGGAAGCTTCAGTGATAGCCTGCAGGGTCAACAGATTATTTTTATTTAGCATGGGCATGCTTAGAACAATTATTATTCGATTAGTTTAAAAAAATACAATAAGAATATACCTAATACGTTAGAAAATACTGCATGTTTTGGGTAAGCGGTAAACAATCTACTACGTGTTTAGTGATGAAGTAAAATTGAGGAAACTTAAAACTTAAGGAATTCACTAGGTGTTAAGAATAATTTCCTGCCTAGTAAATTATCTGAGTAGATGCCATGTCCTTATCTATTTCTGCTGCCAAGCACTAGTGCCTGCGTTCAGCTCTGAAGGGTATAGAGAGCCAGTATACTTACAGGGTGTGATGCAATATATCTTAGTCTTCGGATGCGACGACGCATCTGCATGCTTCTTTATTTAAAGTCAATTGCATGTATCCATATGATGGAATAGCTTATTATTTATCATTGATAGACTCCAAGTTCCTTTGCTAATTCAATATTAAAAAAAAGAATACCAGCCTGTCTGAAAAAAACATTCCTCATATAAATTTTAAGTTTCATTTATTGCATTGCGGTGGTGTTAGTTTGTTACACAAAAGTCTTTGAAATTCGAGCCCAAAGTCCGTTACCCCAAACAACAAGCACCGAAAATCGTGCAGATCGACAAGTTTCTGGACTACGTGACCGAGCAGGGTAAACGCTACCGCACGAACAACGTGCTGGTGACCATGGGCGGTGATTTCACCTACCAGGATGCCGCCATGTGGTATAAGAACTTGGATAAACTGATACAGTAAGTCAATAGCTTCGTCTTTCTCGTTCACTATAGTGATCTACGGCAAACCTGCATCAAAGTATTAAGTTTTATATTGAAGTCTAAAGCAAGGGTGAAAAGGCTTATATAGTATGTAAAAAGCTTAAAAAATATAATATGGTGATTATTATTCATTTAATACATTTAAATGAATAATAATCACCAAAAATGATCTTGGTAAAAATGTTATGCACATCTGGACTAACCAGGACTAATAGACACACACATCGGTAAAGCGGGGTCTTTGACAAATCTTACTCCCCGGCCAATGCAGAGGTAATAAAATCACATACAATTTGCAAATAAAAAATTTAATAAATATAATTATTTTATGGTCGAGTTATCCGAACTGAAGTTATTCTATACGTTTTTAATACTAGTAGTCAAGGACCACGTAAGAATGGGGTGACCGACACGCGCAGTGTAGGCGACCTACTAGATACAGTGATGACCTGATGAAACATGCTGGTAATAGATAGATGCGGTTAGCTCAGGACCGTGCTTTGTGGCATTCCGTGCGGTAAGACTATGTATAGCAATGGTCTTGTGAAAGGCTATAATTGGATATCGTTTTACAAAACTGATCCGATCCATAAAAGGTAATTTTTTAGATATTGACGTTTCAAAATAGGACAAGTATTTCGTAAAGCCTTGTTTTGATACTGTATTGTGGGGGTGTAAGAATATTCACTACCCCATATCATCCCGTGGGTGTTTAAAATTAGCATCAATATCAAGCGAAATCACAAACATATCAAAGCCACAGTTACCGTTACAGCCTATTTTAGTCCACAGCAAAACATAGGCCTCCCCCATAGATTGACTCATAGGGGAAATATTGCCATAGTTGTAATGTTACTGTTGATTTTATATTTTTACCTCTCAGTGCGTCATGTGCTCCTGGTAGATTATATTCTATGCATCCATCAATTACAGCCTATTAATGTCCATTGCTGAACATAGGCCTTCCACATAGAATATTTTATTACACAATAGAGTGGCTGTCAACCTTATTTTGTATGCAGGTCGGCGTCGTCTGGAGCACACATACAAGCAATTACGTCGTATTAGCACTACTACAAATTCGATTTGTTGTGGTGACAGACAGCGAATTTACATATTTTAGACTTTTGATTAATGTTCAATATCATCATTTAAAAAAAATCGTTTAAATTTTAATACATATTTATTTGCAAATAGTGTGAAAACTAATCGTAAATACAATCGCAGTATCTTTTTTTTATTGTAATGTTACTGTTGATTTAAAAATTTCAACTTCAGTGTGTCATGTGCCCCTGGTAGATTATTTTTTCTGTACACCCATCCATTACAACCTATTAAAATAGACAGTTGAACATAGGTTTCCCCCATAGATGTGATGCGGGATGGCAACCGCAGTTTCTTAATTTTGAGATCTATTAGAAGTACTACAAAGTTTTTTTTAATAGCTACAACAACTTGAATTTTTTTTAATATCGAACACTACAAATCTTTCTTTTTTTTCATTCAGATACACAAACTTGAAAGCGGCGAAAGATGGATTGGACGTCAAACTGTTCTACTCGACGCCGGACTGTTATTTGAAGGCAGTCAGGGATGCTAAGTAAGTTGGGATTCCTTTCACTTACTTAATACACTGCCAATTATAATAAGATCTTCTCCTAAGTCAACTAAGGAAAAGCAGGTAAGCGATAGTGATTATAATGTAAAATATCTTGATAATATCATGTTACCAACCCGGGTTCGATTTCCGTCTGTACTAATGAAACTGTTAATCGCATTTTTGAGTGCTGATTTACCACGTGCTTGGCGGTGAAGGAAAATATCTCAAAGAAAACGGCATGTCTGTAAATAAAAAAGGAGTATTAAGCTGTTCTTATGTGATAGAGCCATGCTGCATCTATATTACTGGTATATTTGTAGCACGAATGAGTCGGCTCGACCGGGGAAGAACAATACTCACACAAAATACCAGCGTCAAGTAGCAGCCCAATGCTGCTGTGTTTCGTATGGCGAGTGTAGAGAACCGGAGAACCTTTTTACTGGAAACGAGGCATTCCTTCTTAGTCCTCACGGGTGACAACGCATCTGCATTTTGATTCGTAATCGAGTATACCGCCAACACACCCCAAGTGAACTATGTGCTCGTTTGCCACCTTGATACTATAAAATAACACCGGTATTCAGTGAGATCGTAGTCCTTCCCCGGTCCATAATATATCGGCAGCGTGGCTCTAGCACGTGTAAGAAAAACATTAAAAAATATCTTCTCCCTCCAGCCCCTCCCTTCCGACGAAGCAGGACGACTTCTTCCCGTACGCGAGCGACCCTACCGCTTACTGGACCGGCTACTTCACCTCCCGCCCCACCACCAAATACTTCGAGAGGGAGGGCAACAATTTCCTACAGGTATACATAACATTTTTTTTATATGGATATTTACTGATTAATACAAAATTGTTCCATTCACATAAAGACTGAATGGAACAATTTAGTATTAAATACAGATTACAAGAATGCTTGTTTAAAGTCAATTATGTTTTTCTATTTTTAAACAATCATTTATAACATGTTGTACTATTAAGTGTAGAGATCCTGAGACCCTTTTTACTGGAAACGAGGCATTCCATCTTAGTCCTTAGGGTGACAATGCATCTGCGTCTTTATTCTTAACCGAGGATAAATATAGATGTCTGCGGTGCACAGCATCAACTTCAGGTGGACTGTGTACTCGTTTCTCACCTTTGTTCTATAAAGAAGTATAAAAAATTTTTGAAAATTTGTAGCAATCACTTTATTCCCAGGGGTTATCCATCACGTACCCTTTTTGCTAAAACAAAACAACGAAAATACATTTATATAGTAGGTATAAACGATTGATATATAACTTCTAGACTGACAAAACTTTCTAGACTGTAATAGATGGATGGATGAAAATGAGTAATTTTATTTTCTAGATTACTCATGTACAATCATATTCGTGGTTTTAAACTTAATGCAGGATGATTACGCTCTATAGGAAGTCCTGGCAATGTGAATACCTTAAGATGTTAAAGGCTTTATCAGAAAAGGTATAAGAGATGGAAATAAAACAAATATCTCTTTTGCTTTTACATATTATACTATAATCAATTAACTTTAAAAGTAAAACTAATAACAAAAACTAAAATTCAAAACGATAATGTAGTATTCAATTTGCTTAGACCCCCGGGTAAAGTGGATATGGTGCTCGGGCAAAGTGAATAACTACCATCTAATTACATAAAACTCGAAGTTACACTTAATAATTGAATTCAATCAACTGAAAAACTTAAATTCGCGTTTAAAGGAAAAAATATTAAGACTGGCATTTATCACATATATAATCAATATCGTCCATATTATAAACTCTAGATGTCCATATCGTGTTCTCTCAATCAAAGATTTAAAATTTTCGTATAAACGTCCTACTTCAGATATTGATAATCCCTTAAACGTTTTACTATACCCTCCATCTTCACTGAAAACAACAGGAGTAGGAAACGGTGCCACTTTTGACGTATCAATACAAAGTTGGATAAGCCAATCAATATTTTTAAGCTTTGCCCTTCACCGATTCTCCGGTATCGCATAAATTTACAGCCGCCTGCATGACGTCTTTATCCCAAGAGACATGATTAGTTTTTTTTTTATTTATGCATTATCTGCAACAAAATATGAGCTTTATAATACTGAAACTAAATAGTCCCAAATGCCAGGCAAAGTGGATACCATATCCGCATTGCCTTATTCACTTTTAAGGTTAAGTCAATTAATACAAAAACCATTGATTTCTATTTCCTGTGCAACATATTATAAAAGAGAACTTTGATAAGTAATAGAACTATAGTAAGGCCAAGAAACATCGAAATATTGGAAATTATTTTTCGTAAACACAATTCACCTTAATTGAGACAAGGTGGCGGAACGTTGCTATGGCTTCGTGGTTGATGCCAAACGAATAGTTTAGGAATAATGGGGACAAGGAATCACTTTACGCGGGGTGTTCACTTTGCCCGGGATGTTTACTATAACAGGGGTGTTCACTTTGCCCAGGGTGTTCACTTTGTCCGGACTTCCAATAAGTGGCATATAATATAATTTATTTTATTTCATTTCAGATGGTGAAACAGCTTCAAGTGTTGACACAGCTACAGGAGCACAACAAATTCGTTCTCGACGAACTTAAAAGTGCCATGGGTGAGTGAAGTGTTTAGTTTGTCACAAAATAACATCGTTTCATCGGTGATATCCGGTTTTGTAACTACTTATTCAAACGTAGATAGGTACTCTTTGCTACTTACTTCATTAATCATGTTTTCTTATGTAATTACGGAGCTATGGTGAGAACTTATCCGGCGGCGGATTGCTTCTCCTGTAATATTGTTTGAATAATGGTTTTAAGTTGATTGTGATACGTCAATGTGATGCGATTTTAGTATATTAAATACAAAATGAACGGTAAGGCAAGTGCTCCGATGGTGATGTGAACCTCAAAATAATGTCCGCTTAGGCGACTCATGACAGTATCGCCATCACCTACCTGCTGGCTCAGGTTGCCGTCAATATCTCCCAAAGTAATACCGTGTTTCTACGTTAAAAAATGATTGATTTTTTTACAAACAAAGTATTGCTTGAACTGCTCACGAATCGCTACGTTCTCAAGTTCAAGTCACGTTGCTCAAGTTGATAACAACCGTTATGACCCAGTTATTGGTCTAGCTAGTTACATGCCTACCGAGAACTTGCAAGCAATCAGGAAGTCGCCTACCGCCTGCTAAGCAAAAAACCAGCAAGTCTTTAAAAATGTGACTCAATTTACTTACATGACGTAAGAATATTGCATAGTATAAAAACCAACGTATAATTGTTAAGACAGCCCAGTAGTAATTAAGTTAGTTTGTAGGTTAACTAGTCTAGTATTTCTGTGTACTCACATCGTCACAGTAGTAAAGTTAACTCGTAAATTAGAAAATAAAAGTAATATAGGAAAAAGTCTTCGTCTCCTTCCACTTCAACGCTCCCTAAGCTGCCGCAAACGTAAGTACATAGCTTGTTCAACAAAAAATAATAATTATATAAACAAAGAAGTTATGCCTGAACAAAGATTAAAATGTGTACTGGATGTTTTTTATACCCTCTAAAAAAAATAGAGTGTAACATGTTAACGGAGTAGAAGCCTATGGCACTGATATTTTACAAAAAAAAAACATAAATTTTGAAATAAACGTTTGAAACAAAATTTTTGTATAATAACTTTGCCCTTTGTCCTTGAGCCTGTGACCCTGCGAAGTGACAAGATCAAAGATGCCTACTAAAATTGTTTTATTGTAATTCGTAAAGTAGGGTGGATATGATTTGAAATTCGATAGATTTTTATTTATTTAATTCAAAATGTATATTTTACTTTTTGAAAAATATTAGTGTCATAGGCTTCTACTCCGTTCACGTGTTATACTATATTTTTTTCCAAACGGTAAAAAGGTCAGCCACTATAAACAGATGAATGAGGGGGCATCCACAGTTTTTGCCACTAGGGTGGTGACACTTAGCAATAATGTGAAATATTTGACAAATTGAATGGCGGGAAAGCTTATTTGTTAGGAAAATGTAAATAATAATGTTTCTTTCTGTAATGTTAGTTGCATTTTATTTTAAATAGATTAGAAATAAATAAACCACCCTACACCACAACTACAGATATTCCTAAAAGTTTAAAAAAACAGTTACAAATGAGGATATTAATCGCAGCACGTAACTCTATCGCTGAACGAAACGTGAAAAGGATAGCTGCAAATGTCGTATCGGTACGGGCATAGACTACTGTGTATTACGGGGGACCGAATGCGACTGGAGAGCCATCAGCGCGTACGAACGATACGCACAGCCAATAAAGCGCAATACAGTCAATTATGCGCAATAATGATCACCGCTAGACATTCGTTATACCAATCGCGTCGTCGCGAGTTATACCAATGAGCAATTATTTTTTAGAATTCAAATAATAGTCTAGAAACCGGTAAACTTTTATTTTAAACGCAACTTCTCAATTATGTGATATTGTAAAACAAAAACTTCACCTTAGTCGCAACTTACGACATCTGGTGAACAGAATGTTATTAGCCTTTATTGAGTACATCCTCCTTTACGAAGTGGCTTAAACCAGTGTCTGTACTGTACAGGTGTGATGCAGCATCACGACGCGATCACGGGCACGGAGAAGCAGCACGTGGCACACGACTACGAGCGGATGCTCGACGAAGCTATAGAGGACGCGAGTATCATCGCCAAGCAGGCGTTTAAGTACGTATATATTGTAAAAAAATCCCCTCCTATTAGCTTGGCGTGTACCCATTAGATCTATCTATGTAACGGAATCTTTGAACGTAATTTGCACCAACTTGTAAGGTACGTGAGAGTAATATGGTCACCCTAAGCTAAACTAAGAGGTGGACAGAGACAAAAACACAAAATCGTATACTATAACTAAAACATTAGGAAAAAAATAACAAACAAGCTTTGGCAATAATTATACTTCACAAAACAACACACCAACACTTCGGAAAATCAACCTAAAAAAATTAACTACACTACACAATACTAAAATCGACTAAAATATTTACTATAGTAATATAGTAACGCCATTTTGACAGTTGACACTATAGTGTCCACTGTCAAAATGGCGTCGATAAAGCCTTTTTGACCCTTTAATATTTGATTGACTAATGAATAGCTAACGTATCTCAAAGCCATTTATCTATGCAACCAAGACTGTAGTTTTTGAGTTATAAAAAAGTTACCATATTAGCCGGATGACCATATTACCCTCACGTGCTATAGAAGGTCGACTGACTTGAAAATTTGCACTCTATCAAGAACTGATAACAATACAATAATATAAAAATGAATATAATAAAGTTACGAGCGATAAATAGGGATCGTGACAATAAAAACTGCCGATTGAATTACCAAAATTGACACTCACTGAACACCAATTAAAACTTATATCACACTAATCACACTTAACAATTTAGTTAATTTTATTTCGCTCCGAAAGCTTCGCTCGTATCGCCAATTCAATACTGACTCGGTCGCGGCCCGAACGGCTTTATATAGGCCTTTTCCACCGAAACATCTAGTATGTACCACCAAATACCGGTCCCGACCGACTAGGTGTAGAAAATTCGTGTGTGGAGCTTTTTATAAAGCTTAGTTCTTCTATTCGATACTAGATGGCGCTAGTTCTGGAAAGATCTTGACGCTCCTATTTCTGCTCCTTGATACTAGAACTTGATCAGGATCACCAGAATGAAATAAATAATTATCAGGATCATAACAGCTCGTGATCAATGCGTGTTGTTTAAGTTTTTTAAACTCTTATTATAAGAGAATTACTAACTTAGAATAAGGTGACAAACTAGCACACAGTTTTTATCATTTGTTATCCTTTATTATTAATACTAAATCGCCAAAACTCGCCGATTGTGGCTATTGCTGCATCCTCCCAGCTCAGTTGAGTGTATTTTTTTAAAGTAGCACACAGTCCACCTAATGGTCAGTGTACTCACTCTTGAGGACTAAGATGGAATGCCTCGTTTCCAGTAAAAAAAAGGTTCTCCGGTTCTCTACACTCACCATACGAAACACAGCATTAAGCTACTATTTCACATTGGTATACAATAATTGGCTACTCGTGTGCTCTAATATTTACGGCTATACAAATAGTCACAAAAATCTTCTTCCGTTAGATGGCGGTGTAGCATCACGTCTATGTCAAATATTTGATATCCAGACCAGTGATATTTAAGCATTATTAAGGTTTAAGTATAGTACTTCCATTGTCCACACGCCTCCCGAACTGATGTTCACTGTAGGACGGGAGAAGCGCGCATTCAGCGGTGGGGTACGGGCTGATGTAGAAGAAATATTTTTAGTTATAGAGATCCGCCCAGGTTTCGCGACTGGATCTCGACAAGAGCGCCACCTGCCTGCTCCAACTATAGCTAAGAACTAAAAAAAACACGTGTGGCACTCGGTGACTGCCGCGGTAAAGCTATTGCATAGCATTTTTTATCAACTTATGCAATTATAATTATTTATTTATTTTATTTATGCAGTTAAGTCTTTGATATTAAATCAAGTTACACTTTTTGAGCGTGGTGACCGATAAGAAAACAATTTTTTTTCTCTTATTGAATAAATGAGAAGTTAATATTGTTTAAAATAATTTTAATATCTTAAAATACATGTAGGTTATTCAGGAATTTTTATCATTGAGTTAGCAGCTAGTGTACACGCATACGTCTAGTCGCACGCACACAAACACCGTGCCGAAGTCTGCCGAACTGAAACGACGTTAGACGATGCACGGCTTTCAACGCCACACCTCCGTGCCCGTCGGAGTGGGGAGCGTGAGGTTTTTTTTCGTTACGGAATTTCTGGATTCGGTCCCCGCGCTCAAGGCCCGCGATAGAAGCTATGCAATAGCTTAAAAATTTCATCCAAATCGGTCATTAAAAAGCCGATTAAAAGGAGAAGAATTACGAACATACGCACACCGAAGTTTTAAATATAAAGATATTTGTACGTGGTAAAGCAACGCTGCAGCTATATTATGGTTGTAGCACGAATGGGTCCCACTGAATGAATGGGTGGCGAGGACCACGCTCCCATAGATTACCAGCGTAAACTGGCGGCTTAATGCTGCTGTTTTTCCTATGGTTAGTGTAGAGATCCGGAGACCCTATTTTGCTGGAATACGAAGGATTCCATCTTAGTCCTCAGGGGTCTGATGATCATCTGGGTTTTGATTCTTAATCGAGGATAAATGTAGATGTCTACGGGCCGCAGCATCCACTTACCACCAGGTGGACTGTGTGCTCGTTTGTCACGCTTATTCTATAAAAAATATGTTGGTCCTTTTTGACTGTCCGTAATGATAATCGAATTTGGTTGCTTCTAGCAAAGTGTTTCAAGGCGACGCTCTGAAGCCTCCGCTACTAAACTACGAGCGATGTCGCTTCAATGAGTCCAGCTGCCACGTCTCTGAGAACAAGAAGAGCTTTGTGGTGAGTCTGTTCACGTGATAATATTTATTGTATAAGAAAATTACCGTGTAGTTGCGGTTTATGAATAACCACTACCCCATATCGTCCCGTGAGTGTCGTAAGATGTGTCAGGGAGAAACAAACCAGGAGATGAGCAGCAGCTGCTCTCTAATAACAACTAAAAATAAATGCCAAGAGTGGCAACTTTGGCAAATATCCCCCATATACGGCAATCTATGGAAGTGGCCTATGTTCAGCCTAAGTTAAGACTTTAATAGGCTGTAACAGTAACGGTAAGAAAGAAACAAGTAAAGAAAGAACATTCATTTGATAAAAGAAAGGAGTTTAAATATAGTTATAAATAAGTCGGCATTTGAGTTGAGGTGAACTGATATACTCAAACTACTAAATGAACTGATGGCGAAAAGGTGAAAGAGTGAATAAATAAAATGACACACTATCCATTCATGATATCCTACTAAAGTAAACAGCTGAACATAGGCCTTCCCCCCATTCATTATCTCATACGGGGAATATTATAGGGAAGAAAGGTTCTCGAGTGGCAGTCTCGTACCGGCAGGCGAAGTGTAGCACAAGCCCCCACTAGATGGAGTGACGACCTGGTAAGACATGCGCTAAGTGAATGGATGCGGGTGGGGGACCGTGCTTTGTGGTATTCCTTGTGGGAGGTCTATGTTCAGCAGTGGACCTGTAAAGGGCTGTAATGATGATGATAAAGGGGAATATTCGCTGTAGTTGCAAAAATTATTTGTTTTCTTTTTTGGTAAACATAGTGTTTTTTTATTGAGGAAGAGATTATAAAGCATGCAGTTCACCTGATAACGGATTCTGTAGTCTATAAACACCGGCATATATTCTTGATTATGAATTAAAATCCAGGTGCGTTCTTCACTTTTTTTATGGGATAAGGGTGACAAGCAAGCACGCAGTCCACCTGATGGTAAGTGGATGCTGTGGCCCATAGAAATCTACATTTAACCTCTTTTAAGAACCAAAATGCATATGCGTTGTCACCCCCTAAGGACTAAAATGGAATGCCTCGTTATTCCGTTTCTCCACACTGACCATACGAAACACAGCAGCATTACGCTGCTATTTTACGCTGGTATTCTGTGAGAGCGTGTTCCTTTCCCTGATGGTAAATGGCTTCTTCGGTTCATGGGCACCTGCAGGCAACTTCAAACAGAAAAGTCTACAGATGAGTTGTTTCTAACAACTAAGATGTAATGCCTCACAACCTATAATTGTTCTGACTTCAGACCGGAACCTTCTATACCCTTCAGATGGGAACACAGCAGTGCAACGGCTATTTGGCGATAGAAATATGAAGATGATACCTGCCCATATAGACACCTAGGTAGAATAGGTGTCTTACTATCTTAAAGTTACTACTACAGGTGGTAAAATTAAAAGTTTCGTACAGCCGACTTCAATATAAATAAAATGAGAACATCATCAATGTAGTCGAAATCAATAAATACGCATTATTAGGGATAACTCAGAAACTACTGGTCAGATCTTGATCAAATTTAAATTTGACCACATGAGAAGCACCAGCTTTCAAGTAAAAAAAGAATCATCAAAATTTGTTCACCTAGAAAATAGTTCTGAAGTAACACACATTAAAAAATACAGTCGAATTGATAACCTCCTTCTTTTTTGAAGTCGTTTGTAAACAATATTGTTGTGTGGTGTTGCCAATTAAGCATTCTTTATACTAAATTTAGCATATTCTGCACTTGTTTAGCATGATTTTTTTACATTTGCTTATTTGCGATAATTTTTATATAACACGTTATACTAAAACTTGGACAAAAGAATATAAAAATACATTTACATTAAAAAATATATAATAACTTGTTTTCAAGGTGGCAACACTGACTGTTGGTAATTACATTTTGACAACTTCTATGTCTGCGAAAAATATACAATAGTTAAACAATCGAAATGTTTTATATATAAGTTACGGACGGTGAAATTGGTTAAATAATATTAAAATTTCTCAATTAATAGGTAACCGTCTACAACCCCCTAGCATGGAAAGTGACAGAACCCGTAAGGATCCCAGTTGTTGAAGGAAATTACGCTGTGTTCGCCCCTAATGGTAAGTAGTAAAATACATACACACATATACAAACTCCCACACCTGTAACCAAACCATGTAGTGGTGGTGTAAGGATATCCACTACACCATATCATCCCGTGGGTGTTGTTCCAGTCAGTCTCAGTTGTGTTTGATTAAACATGGAACAGCCGCCCGGGTGCCGCACTGGCAGTATTCCGCATTATTGGCCCACGGCCTCCCCACGGCTGGGCGTGCTTACTATACAAAGTAGCGCCATCTCAGCCTGGATTATAAGAATTGAGGAACGTATTGTAAAAATTAGGGCCCAGGCTGACATGCTTCAGGTCGCACAATAACAGGCCAAGAATTGTGCACACCGTCAGGATGGCTTTGCTGGGAAAAATGTCAGTTTGTCTTAGACGGATATTACGCAAAAATAGACGGAGCCCATAAATATGCATGAGCGTAACCTTAAGCAGAAAATCGCTGCTTGGGGAAAGCAGATTCGGCGAAATACTGAGAGGTTGATACGGTTCAAACAGAATCGTCTCTTCCAGAATGATGATAAGAGGCTCTATAAATCATTAGAGCGAGTAATGGTACGTGAAACGGGCTAAATACCGAAACAGACCGACATTGTCGCATTCTATCGCGGTCTGTGGTCAGAGCCCGTAAACTACAGCGAGAGCCCTTGGATGGAAGTTGTGGCGGGCCAGTGTTGCGAATGTTACGCCCATGGACCCCGTCATCATAACGCCGGACGACGTGGTTGAGGCGGTCCGTAGGGTCTCTTCACTACTGGGATCACTCATTTGGTTCTTGAAGACCAGGATACCACAGACCCGAGCAAATACTGCCCCATTACGTGTCTACCGACCATATACAAGACACCAACATCCATCTTCCGGGTCGATTGTACAAATGGGCGTGCCTCAGGGCTCAATTCTCGGCCCTTTTCTATTTCTAGTGTATATTAATGATTTACCTTACATAGTAGGAGATAACCATGATATAGTATTATTTGCTGATGATAGTTCATTAATTTTCAAATTTAAAACGGTGTGCACAATTTAAACGTTACCCACGCACTAGGATTTTGTTCTGTATCGTGGAGGCAGTTTACAAACATAAATTTCACAGAGACACCCATCTAGGCCCGAAACAATTATTTCTAGGCCATACAAATACTTTTTCCGTGCGGGATTCGAACCCGCGGCTCTTAGCGCCGCAACTTATTGCTAAGCCTTTGCGCCACAGAGTTATGTTCGACTCGCACTGACTAAAACCATCGCCGCATATTATCAAAGCCACAGGAACGTTTTCCCACATGGCCCCACCAGCGCCGACCGCTCTATTCTCCTCTTAGGACTCTATTAAGACTATTCCTTCCTCAGCTCCTTCTCAGGTAAGATGCACTAGAACATATAGCGCGACCTGCGCAACGGATGGAATAATTATACTTGAATTCGTACGATTTATTTCCTTGAAGAATGGATCGGTTATATTACTAAGAGAATACGTTGTGTATAATTAAAATTAATAATATGTTAGAATGTGGTAGCAGTCGTAGTAGCTTAAAGGTTAAACTCCGCTGGCACCAATGAAATTATTAATTGCAATTTTAGGTTGTGTTTATCACGTGCTCGACGGTGAAGAAAATTATCTGGAAACCTGCATATCCGAGGAATAAAAAAATATTTAAAAATAATTATGTAAATTCCGTCAACAACGGACTAGAATTCTAGACATGATATTTTTCGTTAAATTTGAGGGTCTGGACGAATTTAACTCGTTGTATTTTTTTATGTACAACTTACATAATTTTAAGAATATGTTGTTTAAGAGTTTGAAAGATATATAACCTAATCAAAATACCTTCTACGTTAATTCTTCTATCTTAATTTACCCACTATGTTGTTTTATATAAGCAATCAAAAATTAAAAATTATGAAAATATTTTTTCTTCAAAAAGTGGCACAATTTACGGCCTTACCCAATTACTTTCTGACGAGATCGCATGATCCATTCTACAAGAACGTCATTTCTTGTAATAAAGGGTTTATCTATCGTAATCCTTAGCCAAACCAGTACAGAGCATTTCCGACCGTGAGACCGTATGGAAGGAGAAGGAGCTTCATGCGAGGTACTACAAGGCTCTACATAAGCCTTTTGTAGATACAGTTGCCTCCCTTCCCTGCCTACGCTTCAGTGACCTCTTTGGGGAAACCGAGGGTTTTGTCTGTGCGATATAGGAATAGGTAATCAAGACCAACAACTTTTGGAGATATTCGTACATCCTAAAGGATGGCTCAGTCGATATCTGTCGAGCTTGTCGGCACCCCGGTGAATCACTTATGCATGTCATCTGCACAGATATAATCTAGGAGCCAGGATTCTATACCAGGAGCTCGTTCTGAAATACGGTTTCGTGGATCAGAAACTGCCTTATTATAAGTACATGCCGGAAGCCGAGCTCGAAAATGACCGCGCCAGGCTCTACCGGGATCGGGCCATCATCACAGACAGGACTATTCTTGCGAATAAGCCTGATATTGTGCTGATGGATCGGCTATAGGCAAAGTTATTTTTTGTCGACATTACCAGTCCGTACGACGAAAACCTCGTAAAAGCCGAAACAGATAAACAGAAAACAAAATATCTGGACCTTGCTCACGAGATGACCGACATGTGGGGTGGTCTGCCGACCGAAATTATTCCTGTAGTCGTCTCTGGGAACGGGCTAATCCCGGTCAGCCTCTCGGGTCATCTGAAGCGACTGGGACTCCGTGATCGACCGCTCCGGGCTCAAATGCAGAAGGTGGTGCTCCTCGATACCGCCTGCATCGTTCGACGTTTTCCTTCCCTTTCCGCCTAACCCTCGGCTGTTTGGCCTCTCCTGCCGAGGGCTGCCATCTTGCTGGACTTTTATTTATTTGTGTATTATTTATGTTGCGTTGTATATTTAATATATATTTATGTATATTTATTTATTATATCCTTTTATATATTTATTCAGCCCAATCAGATGAGAATACTATAAATGCCCATCTGTTGGATGTCATTAGAGTTTTCTACCATTAAATTTCTTCACGACACCCACTCAACCAAATAGAATAACGGATTCTTTCTCGCCGCCGCAATGTGGCCAATATTTAAAAGGGTATATACAAGGGTTACCTGTACACCCTTTTTATATAAAAATGGTACACAGGTTACCCTTGATATACAGGTTCACCTGATGGTAAGTGGGTGCTGTGAGTCATATACATCTACATCTATCCTCGCTTGAGAATCAAAATGCAGATGTGTTGTCACACCTGAGGACTAAGAAATGCCCTGTTTCTAGTAAAAAGGTTCCCCGGTTTTCCACATTCACCATATACGATATGGCGTCCACGAAATAGTCGAAGATTCTGTGTGCTGATATTGCGATATTTTTTATAGAATAAAGGTGACAAACAAGCCTAGCTACCTGATGGGAAATAGATGCTGTGACCCATATACATTTACGACTTGCCATTCCTGTTGACTAAGATGGAATACCCCCTTCAAATTAAAAGATTCTCCAGCTCTCTACACTCTGTTTTACGTTGATAGGTAGTCTGTGATGTATTGATAATATTTACTACAATTTCTATTTCAGGCGAAGAAATAACTTCCCAACTTATCGACATACCGGAGAACGTCAGAAATATTCCAACAAGACAGTCCAAGGCCACTCACGAAGTAGTTTTCCTCGCGTATCTTATGCCATTAGGATTTAAATCTTATTACATAAGCAATAAAGATGCAAAGACAAAAAGAGACGCTACCTATAAAAATACAAACAAAAGAGATGGTGACTATTATATAAATTTGAATGATTATTGGAAAAATATAAAAACTAAACCCTATATTGATATAAAAAACCTAGAAGATGGTCAGCTTAATACAGATGTAAATTTAAATAAAGACACTGAAAAAATTCCCGATTCAGTAAACTTAAAAAATAACAACGACGTTCTGAATCAAGGTAAAGTTAGCGAAGAATTAGATGTAGCAATGTTGAAAGACAAGAACGATGTTATTAGTGAAGATATTTTGCAACTGGAGAAGATAATAAGGGAAGCGAAGAGAAATATGGAGAAGATGGAAAGAGAGAATCCAAGAGATAATGTGTCGAAGAAGCTTAACTATCTGAGCTTGAATGATGAAGAAATGAGGATGCTGTCTGATGATCCGATGGTTGTTAGCACTTTCGATGATATGTTTATTGAAAATGAGGTATGTTTTAAAGTTAAAAGTTGAAGTTACAGCCTATATAGGTCCCACTGCTGGACATAGGCCTCCTCTCATTTCTGAGAGAGTTTTAGGGCAGAGAAATGTCCACCGTACTGCCCTAATGCGTGTTGGCAATCTACACATGTCTTCAAATTATTTTTTTTATTATTTTTTTTTATATATGCAGGTTGCATATCTGAGAAATAAAAAAATGTTTCACGATGTTTTCATTCACCGCCGTGCACGTGGTAAATCAGCATTTAAAATTACAATTAAAAATTTCGTTGGTGTTGGCGGGGATCGAAAGGGTTGCTCGCGTACTGTGAAATTCACAGCAAGCGCTTAGCCCCTGAGCTACCACGGCACGACATAAGTTTTAAATAGTTAGAAGAATTAAATCGTAACATTTAATTCCTAATATGTAATATGGTATCTAATATTTCTTTAGTGTGGTGGTCGTCGACTCCTTTGAGATAAGCCGCCATGACTGAAATTCGGTGTGGAGGACATTATTATTATTATTATATTATGTATTAAATTTTTGGTGATAGTTTCTTCAACTATTAAAAGCCAGTGCTAAAGAACTTTTTCACCTGATGGCATAACAGTTTAGCAATATTTCACTCTCCGTAATGTATCCTGTTGACCACCAATGGTCTGCTCAGCTCTGTGCCTAAGCTCAAGAATTGCAAGATCTATCTAATATAGAATCAAAATATAGGAAGTTTCTATATTCTGATTCTATTCCTATTAGAAACTTTATTTAATCTGATCACTTACATGTGACGTCAGACCTAGCAGAAGAACCAAAAAGCGCGAAAGTTTTAGGTCAAAGTTTTTACAGTTAAAGGTATTGGATTACTATTTTATTAAGTAGATATATATTGCAAATCTAAAGGTCTTAGGACGCATATTCCACTTAGGAGTGGGTATTCTACTACCACTTACATATTTCCACTACCAAATAGGAATACGTGCATGCTGTGTCCCGGTCTAAAGGGTATGGACAAACGGTATAATTACACAGTTATAATTACAAAAAAAACTTCCAAACCTTTAAAAGTTCCAACATTCAAGCCTTGTTAGAAGAAAAATACTTGCATAGAACATTGATCCATTACTTAATATACATAAGAAGCAGAATCGCATTTACAAAAAAAAATGCTTCCAATCCTTTAAAATAAATATACCTTGATAGAACATTGATCCGTAACAATATATAAATAAGGAGCAGAATCGCGTCGAGTCCCGACAGAGCGAGCATATTCAAATACTTTGAAGCTTTGCGAGTATTTTGGGTTGGCAGAGTCGGCACTTGTTCGCCTTACTTGCAAATACCTGGTATAAAAACCTGGTCGCGTAAATACGCACCTTCCCTACCTGGGATCCACCATCCACCAGGGCGGATCCCAGGGGACCATGAGTATGTCCAAGCTCAGACACAGGATATGAGACGTTCCATCTTAGTCCTCAGAGATGACAAGGCACCCGTAGCCTTCTTGATGTTGGCTGCAGATATCCATGGATGAAAGTATCCACTCACCATCGGGTGGACTGTAAGTTCGTTAGTAATTTCAAATTATAAAAGTAAATCCGCCTACCGTGCATTGTGAATACGGAAGTATTTTAATTAACACAGCCAAATTTACTTGATGCAGTGGCAAAAGAAATGTTAACTCTATATAGGTTATTAATAATACTTATTGAACGTCTGACGTAATTGAAATGCTTATATCGCCATCTATCGGGAGTCATGAGTTTTTTAAGGGTGACAAACGAGCACACAGTCTATCTGATGTTCAGTGGTTGCTGTGGCCTATAGACATCTATATCTATCCTCGATTAGGAATCAAATGCGTTGTCACCCGTGAACACCAAGATGGAATACCTCGTTTCCAGTAAAAGGGGTCTCCAATTCTCTACCCTCACCATACGAAACACAGCAGCATTAAGCTACTATTTTACGCTGGTATTATGTGAGAGCGTGGTTCTTCCCTGATCGAGCCGATTCGTGCTACAACTATACTACTGATATGACTGCAGCATGGCTCTACCATTTCTAGCATTTCCCATTATCATCTCTGACGAAATCCAAGGGAAAGACTATGGTGACAGTGACTATTATTCTATGGTTTGAAAAAATTATATTGTATTGTTTTGCATTTCAGTACATAAAAATTCGTGTGGACAACGCGACAGGTCAAATTACCCAGATGATTCAACAGAACTCCACCTTGGATTTGGCCGTACGAATGTATTATTGGACACCATGTTACGGCGACAATTCTAACACATCTCAGCGTTCTTCCGGTGCTTACATCTTCCGTCCTAATATAACTATTCCTTTCGAACTGAAGATCCTTCACACGCAGGTAAAAAAAGGTCCGATAGTATCCGAAATTAGGATCACCACTCCAGGAAACGCATCAAGCGTACTCCGTTTGTACAGTGGCCTTAACTTCTTAGAACACGACTTTGTCATTGGACCCATATCGGTTGACGATAATATCGGGAAAGAATACGTAGTGAGATACGAAACCAATATATTCAATGATGGAATTTTCTACACCGATTCTAACGGTAGACAAATGCTGAAGAGGAAGCTTTCCGAGAGGCCACAGTGGAACCTTACACTGGAAGAACCGATACCAGGAAATTATTACCCGGTCACAAATAAATTTACCATTGAAGATACTGAAAGCCGCCTCTCTGTTTTGACTGATAGGTCACAAGGTGGCACGTCTTTGGTTGAAGGAAATATAGAATTAATGCTTCATCGAAGACTTCTCCATGATGATGCGTTTGGTGTTGGCGAAGCTCTAAACGAGGAAGCCAATGGCGTAGGCTTAGTTGTTAGAGGAAGACACCGACTCCTTAAAACAAATCCAGATAATACTGACGAACTGATTGCTGAAAGGAAAAAGGTCCTCGAATTGCACTATCCACCGATTATTTTCGTATCGGACGCTGAAAATCTGGAGTACAAAGACTGGTTGACACTGACCAATATGTACAGCGGAGTGAAGAATTCTTTATCAACCGGTCTCCATTTGCTGACTCTGGAACCTTGGTCCGGATCGACGCTACTTCTTCGATTGGAGAATTACTTAGATAAATCAGTGAATTCTACAATTGAAATAGATTTAGGCACGATGTTCAAGAGTCTAAAAATTGTTTCTTTCAAGGAGACTACTTTAGCAGCCAATCAATTCTTAAGTGATCACCGTAAATGGAGTTGGAAGACTGATGATGAGTTTTCTGAGAGCTTCAACAAGGGATACGGATTCTTTGATAATGTTACTAAGGCCAAAGATGATGCGGAAGTAGTGATGGATGACGGACTGAAAGTGAGGATCAAGGCCAAACAAATTCGCACGTTCATTGTTGTTTATGAATATTTAGCAAACGTTAGTGGAGCATAAAAAATATTTTTATTTTTAAATTGTATTGTTGGTGAAATATAAACGAGATTTTTTTAAATAAACTTTTCTTAATTTAACCTACAACATAAAATTCACAGCATATTAAAATTGATTAAACAGCCTATAAAAAGTTCACTGTTAAACATAGACCTCGCATATAGACTGCTTCATAGGAGGGTTGTTTACCATAGTTGTCGTTTGCTAGGTGGGTTAGCCACCGCAGTGTTAATTATTTCGATCAGGAAGATGCCACTGCCCATCTCAAGTTTTATTTTCTTATTTCGTCTCTTACGATACCCACGGCATATTATGGGGTAATATCTACCGCCGCCAATATCTGATGAAATATATGTGTATGGAAGTGTGCGCGTGCAATACCTCTTTACCAAGTCTATACCAGTATATACTTACTGTAACTCTATGAAATAATACTAGTTTTTACGGAATTTATCGCGTATATTTAACTTTTTAAATACCCGACGTTTCGAGAGCTTTACAGCAAAAAATTTAACTTTTAATTAAATTTTAATCTATGGTAACCGCTGTTAACTATGACATCTGGACGTTGAACATCTCAGTCCTTCCCGTGACCATGGGTGCTGTAAAGCTCTCGAAACGTCGGGTATTTAAAAAGTTAAATATACGCGATAAATTCCGTAAAAACTAGTAATATTTCAATGTGTAGTGTTCGCGTAAATATAAGAAATCATTGTGTAACTCTTTGGTCTGTACCTTTCTTACCCGTCGATAGGTGAAATAGCACGCGTTTTAGCAACCTCCAAGTTTGCTAAGTGTTAGAGTCACGCTGCATCTATATTATGGTTGAAGCTCGAATGTGTCTGCTTGACCGGGAAAGGGCCACGCTCTCTCAGGATACGAGCGTAAAATAGCAGCTTAATGCTACTGTGTTTCGTATGGTGAGTGTAGAGAACCGAAGACCCTTTTTGCTGGAAACGAGGCATTCCATCTCAGTCCTCAGGGATGACTTAAGCATCTGCATTTTGATTCTTAATTGAGGGTAATAAAATTGAAAATTAAGGGTAACAGAAAAGAAATATCTATGGGCCTCAGCACCTCAAAATAAAAAAAAAAAAAAAAAAATAAATTTTAAATTTGGGAAAATCCCAAAAAAAAAAAAAAAAGAGCAAGCTCCATCAGCACAGGCCTTATATTAGTTACTTTTTATCTATTGAGGAGGAGGAACTTCTCTTAAAACAGGATGCAGAAGATTTTTGTATTTTTTATAGAATAACAGTGCCAAACGAGCACACAGTCCACCTAATGGTAAGTGGATGCTGTGGCCCATAGAAATTTACATTTATCCTCGATTAAGAAACATTGCAGATGCATTATCCTCTCGAATGTCGGGGTCATTTTGGCCAATATGGCGCATCTGTCGAGCACTTCCCGAAGTAATACTAAGTAAGCATATAACAAATATACTAAGTATATATATATATATATATATATATATATATATATATATATATATATATATATATATATATATATATATATAAACTCATAAAAGGTTTTCAAAACAAATTAAAACGACGTGTTTTAATTTAGTATACTCAAAAACGAAAAATTGAAACACCTAATTTAATACAAAAGAGTTTTCATTCCATGAAAAAAAAAAACGTTATTGTATAGCTGGCAATCTGGCCATTACAATGGTAAGAAAATTCGAAAATTCGAAATTAGAATTTCATTTGTTTATCCTCTAAATGAAATGAATCACTATTTTGAAACAAATGTGCATCTACAGTTGGAGACCATTTCACGTTTAAAAACTAAAAATTTGCGTTTATCTTTAAGGTTTTTGTTTTTAATTTCTTGTGTTTATTTGTGCTTGTTTTAATTTCTTTTCTGTTTCTAATTTCGTCATGCTAGCAACTTTCTTGAATTTAGAGTATTTAATAAACACAGACTTTATAGAAAATTATCGTTTGTCGGAAGAACTCGTTAATATATACTTAAATATATGTTTTAAATTTATATATTATTTTTGATGGCACGTTTGGCGCAGTGGCTGAACCACCCGAATGCAGCGTTGCGGATCACGGGTTCGATCGAAAAAACTTTAATTAAATATCAAAGAAAAAAACAAAGAAAAAAATGCATAAATAAAATAAACAAATAATTATAATTGCATAAGTTGATAAAAATGCCATGCTAATAGCTTTACCGCGGCAGTCCCCGAGTGCCACACGTATTTTTTCTTATATTATTAGGCTTTCAACTTACGATGATTTCCTTCACCGCCAAGCACGTAGTAAATCAGCACTTCAAATTGCAATTAACCATTTCATTGTGCCGGCCGGAATCGAAACCGGGTTGCTCGCGTTACGTACTATGTTTACAGCGTGCGCTAACTATCTGAGCTATCACGGCACGGTTGCGGGTTGACAACCTAACGAAATGAAACGTGATATTGGCAGTTGCTACTGCCAATATCACGTTTCATTACCCCCTGTCCCGTATTACAATACCCACGAAATAATAATATAGGATTACAGTTCACGGGTGTATGCGCGAGCACAGGTGCACTCTCTATTCCCTCACTCTCATAGTTTGATGGGACGGTAATCTAAACTATGAGAGTGGGTTGAAGGAAGGTTGAACAGGGTTGAAGCACCGCCAAACTTTCGACTCCAGGCTGCTACTGACAATTTCTCGACAGAAAAACCCAGTAACAGATTTTGGCTGGACCCGGGACCTCGTTTTCAGCAACCGCGTTTACGAGCACTAGACAAACGAGGCAGTCAAAATATCTCTGAAGTGAAAGGTCTTTGCATTGTAGTCTTTTAGTTACAGCCACAGAAATAGTTATAATGAGACAATAGAAATGAATTAGCGCTCGATTACTTCCAAAACCGATGTCGCCACAAATTTTAACACATACGCATTAAGCGACCGATGCCCTGCAGCCGTATTATAAACATACGCAACCCACTGTTTATAATACGGTCTAATGTTTCACATTACATTGCTTGGCGAGTTTGTCAACGTCGCGTGCGTCGCGTATTACGGTAGAACAAAAGCAGTAATGGTAATTGTAAATACGAAAAATAATAAATGAAAGTTTACAAAGGTAAAAAAATATTTGTAAAGTATTCATCTAGATGTTTAAATTAGTTAAAACAATGATAATTAGTAAATAATCATTTTACCGATAAAATATTATGCCTTTACTAGTTGAATTACACGTCCTTGATTAGTTTTTACTAGTGATTATGCTGCAGTTCATCATTATAACATAAATTCACGTACGACGTTCCCCGCCCAACTAAATCCCAACATGGTGAATGATGTCGTCAACACATCATAGCGGCGACAAATTGACACGTTTATGCCACTTCTATTGTCTTATTACGATTTCCGTGGTTACAGTCTATATACATCCCACTGCTGGGCACAGGTCTCCTCTCATTTCTGAGAAGGTTTTAGTACAAGGAAATGTCCTCCGCGCTGCCCCAATGCGTGTTGACGAACTTCACATGTCTACGAAATATTTTTTTTCTTATTTGTCAGACATGCCGGCTTCCCCACGTTTTCCTTCACCGCCGAGTGGTAAATCAGCACTTAAAATTGCAAAAAACAATTTCATTGGTGCCGGCGGGGATCGTACCCGAGTTACCACGGCTCTCAAGTAGTCTTATAAGCATTAAAATTCCCCTACTCGTTATACCAGTATAAAGTACTGTCCAGGCTACTACTAGCTTTGTTTCTTTCACAAGTCCTAATCGTTGTCATTATTTTGTCCATAGCAGTAATGAGGGCTAGGCATGAGTCGGATATATCAAAACGAATCTAAAATCCGATTTCAAACACAAATCGATTCGTATAGATTGCTCAAACTAGAAAATCCGATTTCAAAAATCGACCTAACTAGCTAAACTCTTATGATCTGCACAACCAAACCAATCTAAATCGAAAACAAATTCGACAATATCCAAACTTAAACGCAAACTGTTGCATAGAAATCCAAATCCGTTTTTTCAGTGGCTCTCTCGATGACGTGAAGTTTGCGATTCAGATTTCGGTTTGTCGGCTTTGGAATATCGAAATCTATTACACATTTAAATATGGGATCAATATTATCCTTACTGCTTAGTACGTAAAGTCTATAATGCTTTGCGAGATTATGGGTTGATGAATTTTTGGTTCAGTGTGCGATCAATATCTGTCTTATTGTTAAGTCGTTTAAGGCTATATTTGCGAGATTGTGTGATGATATATTTTTGTTTTTTGTTAGTGTTTGCTTATTTAAAATAATTTTTTGTTTTCATGTTGTTATGTTTTAGACTTTAACTTTGTTAACTTATAAAACGAAATCTAAGTACGCAAACGAATTGGCGTGGCTAAGCGATACTGAAATCGGATTTTTAAAAACGGATTTTGAAATCTGAAATCGGATAAATATCGGTTTGCGTTCAAATCCAAAAACGCCCATGCCTAATGAGGGCCAATAATCCTTTGCTCCTAGATGTTACTAGTTGCGACTGAGGGGAAGTTATTTGTCACACAATTTTTTTATAGAATAAGGGTGACAAACGAGCGCACAGTCCACCTGATGTTAAGTGGATACTGTGACCCATAGACATCTACATTTATCCTCGATTAGGAATCAAAACGCAGATGCGTTGTCACCCCTGAGGACTAAGATGGAATGCCCCGTTTCCAGTAAAATGGGTTTTTTGTCACACAATGCCATTATAATTGACAAGTTGCGTTTTAAACAAAAGTTTATGGGTTTCAGAGTGTGTAATTACACAAATCTGCTTATTTCTTATCTTATTAATATAAAATGTAACTAATATTTCAGAAAGAAACAGTTAGTTACTTAAGTCTGCCTTTTGTATCCTTTTTTTTCTAAGGGGACACAATACAGATTTAAAAATGAAAAAGAAATAATTAGCCTTACATCATTCTAACAAATAACCTTCCCCACCTTGCTGCCTATAGTTATTTTCATAACACAGCAGCATTAAACTGCT